GAAGCCAGACTGGCAGCTGCCTGAGGACCGTCTCAGCACCTCTTGGGGAATTCGAGCGTGGGGCAGAGACCTCCATTCAACTGTCCTCTGAGGGCAACTGGGGTCAATGAGCCTGACACAAAGACGACATCCCTCAGTTCAGAATGTGGCATCTTGTGGATTCCATGAAAGGCAGGCTTTGATTGATTTAAGTGTGGACTTAAGGGCCTATGCAATGTGTCTCCTCAGCCTGGTGGTGACCTCTGACACCCGGTCCCTGTGAAGTAGCTCCGAGTTACCGGTTCCGCTGCTGCCCCCAAACACAATCTCTGGCCCACATCTCTCCCTGCAAGCCCTTCGAGGAGCATGCTCGGTCATCTGTGCCAATGACACGGAAAGTGATCCGGAAGTAAAAAAGAAAAGGCGTTTACATTCTGTTTGGGGATAAAACAAAAACAAAAACTGCCTTTTTCATTTTTAGGGTTTTTGCCAGAGGGCGTGTATGCTTGCTGGAGATAGAAAGAGAGAAGTGAGAAAGTACTTCCCGGGGGGACGGTCATGAGGCAACCCCTTTTCCTCCATTCTCCTCTCAGGATTTTGGGCATGCACATATATACACTCCTGGCATAATTTTCAAGCTGCCAGGTCTAGGGCTTGAACTACAGTCAGCCATGTGGGAGTCCAGTGCCTTAACCACCATGCCACCCACTGGCTGTCCTAAAACTGCCTCTTCCAGGGAGGTAAGTACTGAACATCACAACTCTCGGTCAAAGGCCACTGCTTGGAGCGGTGTTTCTATGGTAGCAAAGATGTCAACAGCCTCAATAGCCAGCTCTGGAGAACTGACAAGCGGAAGCTTTTAGCGCCGCCACTGAACGGTGTGTGTTCAGCCTTTCAGGAACACAGGAAATGCTCAGAACATAATGTTCCGTGAGCAGACCCAGGCTACAGGACTGGATGTCGTAACACGGGACCACACGTCTAAGTCCCGGCTGACCCACACACGCCCCGCTGGTTTGCTCCCTCCCCAGAGCACGTGCACAGCAGGATGGCTGCGAGCGGCAGGCACCAGCTCAAAAGGAATTGTGGGTAACTTAAGCTGGGTCTTTATCTTTGTTTTCTACTGTCGGTGATAAACATGTAGTCCTTTATCCTTTGGGGAAAAGTACTGAATGGCAGGGAAAGGCGAGCAGGATAAGAAACTGGGGTGACAGCAAACGGATGAGCCTGACTGATGTCAGAGCAGATGGTTTACAGATGCCACTGGGACAGGGAGAGCGAAGAAAATACTCTCTCCCTTCTCTACCCCACAGAGGTCAAGGTCAGGTGTCCTGAGGGAAGGGCAGTGAGGTTGGAGGCTGCCTGGTGGCATGGGTGCCCCAGAGGGGAGACAGCTGAGGGGTTCAGAAGCCGTGGCCTATGGGGACTTCTGTGGGGGGGGCAGGGGTGTGTGTGCTGCCCAAGGCAGACGGGTGTGGCCAGTGAGGAAGGGAGACGCTGGCCACCTCTGCAGACTCTGAGTCCTGGCTCCAGGTTGTTGGCGCCCCGTAAAACCAGGCATCTCTGGGATTCCAGATGCCATGGGAATTAGGCCCCCCAATGGTTAATATTCTATTTCCCGCCAGCCTTGGGTGAGAATGAAGGACTGTGATGTTTCTTGCCCTGAGGGTCAGAAACTCAAAGCCGAACACTTTGGACCAAGCCCACCCTGCACCTCAGGGCTCTGCCGACGTCTGGGAGGGCGCTCTCAGGGCCTAGACGCCCGTGGACTTGGCCAAGCCCAGTGAGCAGGTCTTGCCGCCCCCCACCCCCGCACCTTTCTCCTCTACCTCAGTCTGTGTTCAGGACTCACAGAGCAGTGGGGGCGGGCCAGGGTGGGCGTGCTGGGCACGCAGGCACCTACCTAGTCGCAGGATGGAGAAGAAGAGCATCCAGAAGAGCCCCAAGAGCGGGGCGAAGATGGCCTGGTAGATGGCGGCCATGTGGATCTGCTCGTTGAGCTTGGTGGGCGCGTAGGAGAAGTACATGTTGTAGCGGTCCGTCAAGTGCTTCATGCACAGGTACAGCAGCCCTACGGGCCAGGTGCCAGACAGAGTCAGCGGGGGCCTGAGCAGCCCGAGTCCTCACAGGCCTGAGAAGCCACCGTCGGGGCTGAGTAGCCAGAGCCTCAGACAGGCTGTGTGAGCCCAGGAGTGCGGACCTCTGGGACCAGTAGCTTCTCCCAGAGACCCCGGATCCCTTTCTGCCAGCGTGGTGAAGAGTCATTCATTCACACACTCACTCAACAAACATCCTCCACCGGCAGTCAGTCAACCTCGGCCCCCTGTCCTGGCTCTGGGGCTGACCCCTCTCTGTCACAGGCTGTCCTGAGACCCTGGTGCTCCAGGAAGGGGCCTGATGTTGGAGGCTCAGTTCCTCCTCCCCGTCTGAGGGTGAGCAGCCCTGGGTGTGCCTCTGAGATGACTCACCGAAAGGGACAATGATAGGACAGGTGATGCTGTACGCCATCACCACGCTGAAGACGTTCAGCATCCACGCGTACTCTCGCCCGTACTGGAAGTCTATGGCCTGGCTCTGGGGCAGAAGGCAGGGGTCACCGGAGGTCACCTGGCCCCTGGGCCTGGCTGCTTCTGTGGCTCCTCGTCAGCCTCCTGGGAGCCAGTTGGCAGCTCAGGCCTGAAGGCACGCCCCCCCTCCAACCCTGGAATCCCAGCAGTAGTGGCTCTGTGGCCTCTCCACCCATCGACCATATCTCCAAAAAGTAGTGGCTCCGTGGCCTCTCCACCCATCGACCATATCTCCAACCGCAGACACCCTTCCAGGAGGAACTCGGGCCTGCCCCCACCTTTCTGATGTGGACTCTCTCGGGCTCTGATCTGGAAAAGAAGAGGCGGGTGCTGTACAAGCAGAGCGAGCCCAGACGCAGCAGCTCCATCCCCGTGCCCAGCATGGCTGCCGTGATCACG